TGACCTGGGGTCAGATTGGCTCTCAGGCTCACTTCAGCAAGGATGTCAAAAACCCCAAGTGTGAACACTACAGTCCCCTCTCAAAGGGGAGGGGCAAGGACAGGGGCCCCAGCCCCACCTGCACATCCCACTGAAAAGGAAGGAGCAAGATCCAACTGGAAAAACAGGCAGAGACATGGGGAAGTCATCTGCCCATCACTGCCCTGGGCTAGGCGCCCGCCCCGCAGAAACAGAACGCTACATCCAGGTGCGGATTGATCCAGGTGAGGACGGGAGCAGCCAATGGTGGGAAGGAGATTTGTGTAGGATAAAGTGCTCCCAATATGGGGGCTCGATCCGAGCACAACTCTTATTGTCAGTATGACTATTACTCACTATACCGTCCCCCAGGATCCCGTCTTGCTGTACCCCACCCTTGCCTCATCTCTGGGTGTAGCTGTTCACCCCCTCGCCCCGGAGTACCCAGGGCTGAGTCAACAACTGTTCCAGTAAGAAGTGTGGGAGGCAGGATGAGACATGGCCCTGGAGCCAGAGAGACTTGGGTTCGAATCTGAGCGCTGCCACTTATCAGCAAGTGACTCAATGTCAAGGCTCAGTTTCTGCAGCTGGAAAACGCAGGTGTTAATTCCAGTGTTCTGGGGGAGGTAAGAGCAGTGGGCGGGTGGGCCCAGGTGTTCATTGTCCACCCTGCCCCACCTCTGCCGTCTCCAAGCCTGAGCCCGGAGGAAGGAGGAAGCACTGGAAGTGTCCTTCCATCCGCCTCCTTCATCCTGGGGGTGGAGGACAGAATCTCTCCTTTGTTTGGGCCTCTTATCCAACTCCAGTGGCTGGAAACGGACCCAGAATAACTCATTGGGCAGGACGTCCTTCTCTTTGGGTGCCCAGTCCTGGCTTCCCTGAGCTCCCACCTGCACATCCCAAGACTTGTTCCAAAGTCCTGTGTCACTACCAACCTGGGATTCATTCATTCATCCACTTGTTCATTCGTTCAACAATCTATTGATCACCTGCTGTGTGATCACCAGGCACCAGCACTAGGTGCTTAGTTCACAGGCGGTGCTCCAGGCTGAGTCCTCCGTCCGACCCAGCCCTAAACTTGCCCAGCCAACATCATCCTATGAACAACCCCAACAGCCTCGGTTCTGGCAGCTCCCTGCCCCTCAGGGACATTGATCCCTGTCCCTTCTCAGGGGTAAATCAGTTCAGTTCAGTCGCTCAGTCGTGTCCGACTCTTTCTGACCCCATGAATCGCAGCACACCAGTCCTCCCTGTCCACCACCAACTCCCAGAGTCCACCCAAACCCATGTCCATCGAGTCGGTGATGCCACCCAACTATCTCATCCTCTGTCATCCCCTTCTCCTCCTGCCCCCAATCCTTCTCAGCATTAGGGTCTTTTCCAATGAGTCTTCGCATGAGGTGGCCAAAGTATTGGGGTTTCAGCTTCAGTATCAGTCCTTCCAATGAACACCCAGGACTGATCTCCTTTAGGATGGGCTGATTGGATCTCCTTGCAGTCCAAGGGTCTCAAGAGTCTTCTCCAACACCACAGTTCAGAAGCATCAATTCTTCAGCACTCAGCTTTCTTCACAGTCCAACTCTTACATCCATACATGACTACTGGAAAAACCATAGCCTTGACTAGACAAACCTTTGTTGGCAAAGTAATGTCTCTGCTTTTTAATATGCTATCNCCTTTTCTAAAACCAGCTTGAACATCTGGAAGTTCACAGTTCACGTATTGCTGAAGCCTGGCTTGGAGAATTTTGAGCATTACTTTACTAGCGTGTGAGATGAGTGCAACTGTGTGGTAGTTTGAGCATTCTTTGGCCCTGCCTTTCTTTGGGACTGGAATGAAAACTGACTTTTCCAGTCCTATGGCCACTGCTGAGTTTTCCAAATTTGTTGGCATATTGAGTGCAGCACTTTCACAGCATCAGGGGTAAATAAATCCTGAGAAATATAAACCAACCAGGGTAATCGCATCATCTGGGGCTATCACGGTTTAAGTCTTGAGCAGGAGGTCTGCTAGATGGTGGTGGCAGTGGGGAATACTAAAGGGACAGGGACAGACAGCGTTTCCTCTGCTGGATGTTTTCACGTCTGGACAGTAGCTGCTATCTTAGAGATAGGAAGCGAGATGCCCAGAGGGCAATGACAGCCCAGGGAGGATGGCCAGGAAAGAAACCGGAGCCGATGACATCATCGAGCCACTAAAGAGCCACCTTCCTCCTAGATGTCTCGTCACTTGTTGTTGAAACTCACTGAGTCAGAGTTTTTGGCTGGAAAGCTTCCTGACCGGTGTGAATGGGAGGGGTTGCCAGGGAGCAGAGCAGGAAGCGTGGCAGCGGGAGTGGCGCCCTGACTCTGGGCTCTGTTGGTTGAGGGCCCCTGGAGGCTCCTGTTCCTGTTGCGAGCCTCAGGGTCTCCACTGTAAAGTGGGGATACTGGTACTGGCACAAGGCCACAGTTTGGGAGCTCTGATGAGCCAGTGAGGGCACCAGCTCTTGACCTTGTGTCTTGAGTAGACCTTGTGTGTCACGATCTAACATACACAGGTTCGGTGCAGAAAGGAGAGAAGTGGGTGAAAAGTGGGGGTTTCAGGTTTCAGGTTTTGCCTCTGTATAACAACACCACCCAGGGGGCTTAGCGGTAAAGAATCTGCCTGCCAATGCAGGAGACCCGGGTTCCATCCCTGGGTCGGGACTATTACCTGGAGAAAGGTAAAGGCAACCCACTCCAGTATGCTTGCCAGGGAAACTCCATGGACAGAGGAGCCTGGTGGGCTATAGTCCACGGGGTCGTAAAGAGTCAGACATGACTTAGCACTCAACAACAACAACTAACAGTTGATTTTAAAAGAGAAATTACCATGTGTCAGGAACTGTGCTAAGACTTCACACACATTAACCTTATTTAGTACACTGACTTCATCTTATTTTCTTATTTCCATCTAACTTCACACACAAGGAAACCTAGCTTTTTCATATAAGCTCACGAGGCAGACGGTGGGATAATGACTTTTTTGGGGGGATGCACTGCAGTTATGACCAACCTAGACAGCATATTAAAAGCAAAGACATTACTTTGCCAACAAAGGTCCATTTGGTCAAGACTACAGTTTTTCCAGTAGTCATGTATGGATGTGAGAGTTGGGCTATACGGAAAGCTGAGTGCTGAAAACTGATGCTTTTGAATTGTGGTGTTGGAGAAGACTCTTGAGAGTCCCTTGGACTGCAAGGAGATCCAACAAGTCCATCCTAAAGAAAATCAGTCCTGAGTGTTCATTGGAAGGACTGATGCTTAAGCTGAAACTCCAATACTTTGGCCACCTGATGCGAAGAGCTGAGTCACTGGAAAAGACCCTGATGCTGGGAAAGATTGAAGGCAGGAGGAGAAGGGGATGACAGAGGATGAGATGGTTGGATGGCATCACCAACTCAATGGACATGAGTTTGAGTAAGCTCCAGGAGTTGGTGGTGGGGGATGCTGCAGCCTGGCATGCTACAGTCCATGGGGTCGCAGAGAGTCGAACACGACTGAGCGATTGAACTGAACTGCACTGAACTGCAGAGCTTTGGGGATCTTAGTTCCCCAAACAGGGATTGAACCTGGGCCCTTGGCAGTGAAAGTGCAGAGTTCCAGCCACTGGACTGCCAATAAAGTTCTTGGAATCTGAACCTGGCACCCATAGTTCAGAGCCTCTGCTATGCTTTCCGGCATGAGCCTCTGAGCTTCACGTGGAAGGAAAACCACTCAGTCAGCACTTTCACAGATGTGTGTCACAGACCGGAGGGTGTGGGTGGCTCCAGGTGCCCCGGCCACGTAGCTGGAATCACGGCTAAGCATATATGAATGACAGGTTGGGACTTCTTGTGAGAATATATTCACCATCTATCCATCCATCCATCTGAAGGCAGTTTCCCTAACAGCCAAGCCTGAGATGAGAATTCTTGGGCAAGGGAATGATTTATTGAGGAAGTACCCTTAGGGAGAAACTGACAGAAGAAAGAGGAAAGCAGGTTGGCCAGTGCACAAATCAAGACATCTAGCCTGAACCCAGGAGGAGCTCTGGGGCACACAGTGTACGACCCGGATGGTCTTGCATCAGGCAGGGAAAGGGCGGTTATGCCCTCCACAGCATCATTCACCCAACTCACTGGTTAGAGGTGGGCGACGAGGGGTGGGTGATGGGCACGGCAGCCCCCAGCAGCCTGGGGAAATCCTCAAGTGAAGGAGGCCGAAGTGCAGGCTTGGCAGCCGACCCCTGGGTTGGGGACCTGGGCCAGGAGGGGATCTGGGTGGGGCCTGAACACCACCTGCCCCCACCTCCGTCTCTCTTCTGGGGGCTCATTTGATTCCAAAGCATTGACTGGCGCCCCTAGCACCTGGGGGAGCAGAGGAAGGGGAGATGCAAGAGACACGGACTCCACCCTCCTGGAGCTCCAGTCCGCGCAGAGCAGGCCAGACGACCACATACCACGCGGGTGGGAGCTCGGCAAGGTGAAGACCCGTGAAGTGCCGCGGGAGCTTGAGGCTGGGCGTGAGCCCTTGGAACTGGAGAGGAAGCGGCCCTTGGACCCCGAGGAGCCTGGGGTGGGCTTAGCTAGCTGGGAGAGAGCAGGCCAGCGGAGCGTCGCGCAGAAGCCCAGGTTGAGCAAACGCCTGGCAGCCAGAGAGGAAAGAGCGCCCGGAAGCCCCGTGGCCTGCAGACCGGGCGCCTGGAGCCCAGGCAGCTGGCGGCTTGGTGTAGTCCTTCCCTCGAAAAGTATTTCCTGAGCCCCTTCTGGGCTCTGGGCACTGCTTCTGGCACCAGGGCTGCAGTGAGTCCAAGACAGGCACGAAGCAAGTCTGCGAGGGCCCCCAAGGCTCCAAGGGAGAGGGACACAGTGCCGGGCAGAGACGGAACCCAGACTCCCCGCCCGCTGCCCCCCGCCCCGTCCTGGATGGTGCAGGGCCCTGGGGTTGTGGGGTTTGTTTTCATTTGTTTAGTTTTAATTGGAGAATAATTGCTTTATAACATTGTGTTGGTTTCTGCCACATATCAGCCTGAATCAACCATAGGTACATGTGTGACCTGGGACGGCTGGAGGGGTGGGCTGGAGCGGGAGGCAGGACGGGGCCTTGGGGTTTGAAGAAGTGGCGTCCCATGGACAGAAAGATCCATATCGCCCTTTACAGAGGCCACCCTGGCAGCTGCTTGGGTGGTGTTTTAGGGGCAGGGGGAGCCTGGAGGGGCCTGGTGAGTGGGCATGAAGGCACCACCTGCCCCACCCCGCCCCCGCCCCTGCCCCCAGTGCCCACCGCCTTGGCCCAAACACACTCCCCTGGGTGCTGCCGGGCCTTGGTTTTTCCTAAGATCTCAATCCACCCTCAGAGGAGACAGCTGGGGAGACTCAGAAGGTCCACGAGGCAAGTGGGAGCTAGGGGCGGGGCTCAGCCCCTTTCTCTTCCCTGGAGTGCTTTGAAGGCGCCAGACTGGGGTTGAGGGTGTGGCTGGTGGTCCTGGGGGTCTTCCCCAGAGCTCAAGATGCTGAGGGACAGGCTAGAGGGTGTGGCACTCAGGGATCTCGCCCTCGCAGCTGGACAGATAACGCAGGTCATTCTTGTAGGTGTTCAGGTTCCGCTGCAGGCAATCGGCCAATGTCTTGTCACAGGCACACAGCTGCTGCTCACACCAGCTCCCCTTGGTGGCTGTGAGGGGGTGGAGGAGGGCACTTAGTCGTCTGCCCCTTCCCTGGCGGGGTGGGTGTGGCCCCTGGATGGGAGCTGTTGAAGGCAGCTCAGCCCTTGACCAGACTTTGGTGCCCTTCCCAGCAACCTGGACTCTGGCTCTGTGACCTTGGGCATGGGGCATGACCTCCCTGCGTGACATTGCTCCTTCGTTCACTCATCCGCTCAGTAAACAACTGCGCACCTATCCCTCGGCAGTCCCAGGAGGGAGAGGAGAGCAGAATGGACACGCGAGTTCACGCTCCCCTGGGGCGGGGGGCAGACGTCGAGAGGTGTGTGGTTGCTGTTGTTGAGTCGCTCAGTCGTGTCCGACTCTTTGTGACCCCACGGATGGCAGCGTGCCAGGCTTGCCTGCCCTTCACAGAAGTGAGTGCAACTGTGCTTACCCGGGAGTAAGGGCAAGGCAGGGGCCCTGAGCTGGGAACCCATGGGACGGGACTGGTGCCAAAAGCCCTCTGAGCTGAGATCAGAAGTGTCAGCTGCTGCTGCTGCTCTGGAACGCCAGGGTGGGGGAGAGGGACTGCTCCTGGCAGAAGGAACTGTATGTGCAAAGACTCTGAGCAAAGACGGGCCATGCTGCTTCAGTTTCACCATTCGTCAAATGGGGATAAGAGAGCCAGACCTGCTCTATAGCATGGGGAACTCTGCTCAGTATTTTGTAATAATCTATAAGGGTAAGGAATCTGAAAAATAATATGTATACATATATATTCAGATTAAAATAAGTAGGCAAAGCCTTTGGCACATAGTAAGGTAAAGTAAAGTCTCTCAGTCATGTCCAGCTCTTTGCGACCCCTTGGACTGTAGCCTACCAGGCTCCTCTGTCCATGGGATTTTCCAGGCAAGAGTACTGGATTGGGTTGCCATTTAAGTGGTCAATAAACGTTGGCCATTACAGCTGTTGCCGCTAAGTTCTCAGTTAACAGGGACAGCTGGTGAGCGCATTCAGCTTCCAGCCCAGGACTGGCCGCCTTTCTCTGGGCATGGACCCTGGGACTTGGTGACCTCGGGTTACAGCCCAGGCTTTCTCATGTGTATCTGTGTGACCCTGAGCAAACAGTTCACTCTAGTTTCCATTTTCTTGTCAGTAAAATGGAGATCAGGGCTTCCCAGGTGGCTCAGAATTCGCCTGCCAAGCAGGAGATGTGGGTACAAGTCCTGGGTCAGGAAAATCCCTGAGCAAGGAAATGGCAACACGCTCTAGCATTTTTGCCTGGGAATTCCCATGGACAGAGGAGACAGGCGGGTCACAGTTCGTGGGGTTGTGAAGAGTAAGATGCAACTTAGTGACCAACAACAACAAGAAGAAAATGATCACCAGAGGAGTGCTGATGCCTATATGGGTTGCTCTAAGAACCGATGATGAAGAAAAAATGAACAGTAACCTTGGTAACTCAATGAAACTAAGCCATGCCATGTGGGGCCACCCAAGATGAATGGGTCATGGTGGAGAGCTCTGACAGAATGTGGTCCACTGGAGAAGGGAATGGCAAACCACTTCAGTGTTCTTGCCTTGAGAACCCCAGGAACAGCATGAAAAGACAAAAAGATAGGACACTGAAAGATTAACTCCCCAGGTCGGTAGGTGCCCAATATCGTACTGGAGACCAGTGGAGAAATAACTCCAGAAAGAATGAAGGGATGGAGCCAAAGCAAAAACAACACCCATTTGTGGATGGTACTGGTGACAGAAGCAAGTTCGATGCTGTCAAGAGCAATATTGCATAGGAACCTGGAATGTTAGGTCCATGAATCAAGGGAAATTGGAAGTGGTCAAAAAGAGGATGACAAGAACTACCACTGACACTCTAGGAATCAGCGAAGTAAGATGGACTGCAATGGGTGAATTTAACTCAGATGACCATTATATCTACTACTGTGGGCAGGAATCCCTTAGAGGAAAAGGAGTAGCCATCATAGTCAACAAAAGAGTCTGAAACGCAGTACTTGGATGCAATCTCAAAAACAACAGAATGATCTCTGTTCGTTTCCAAGGCAAACCATTCAATTTCAGGGTAATGCATGTCTATGCCCTGACCAGTTATGGTGAAGAAGCTGAAGTTGAACAGTTCTATGAAGACCTACAAGACCTTCTAGAATTAACACCCCAAAAATATATCCTTTTCATTAAAGGGACTAGAATACAAAAGTAGGAAGTCAAGAAAAACCTGAAGTAACAGGCAAATTTGGCCTTGGAGTACAGAATGGAGCAGGGCAAAGGCTAACAGAGTTCTGCCAAGAGAACACACTGCTCATAGCAAACACCCTCTTCCAACAACACAAGAGGAGACTCTACACATGGACATCACCAGATGGTCGACACCAAAATCAGATTGATTATATTCCTTGCAGCCAAAGATGGAAAAGCTCTACACAGTCAGCAAAAACAAGACCGGGAGCTGACTATGGCTCAGATCATGAACTCATTGCAAAATTCAGACTGAAATTGAAGAAAGTGGAGGAAACCACTAGACCATTCAGGTATGACCCAAATAAATCCCTTATGACTATACAGTGGAAGTGAGAAATAGATTTAAGGGACTAGATCTGATAGACAGAGAGCCTGATGAACTATGGACGGAGATTTGCACTCAATATGCCAGCAAATTTGGAAAAATCAGCATTGGCCACAGGACTGGAAAAGGTCGGTTTTCAATCCAGTCCCAAAGTAAGGCAGTGCCAAAGAATGCTCAAACTGCCACACAATTGCTCTCATCTCTCACTCTAGTAAAGTAATGCTCAAAATTCTCCAAGCCAGGCTTTAGCAATACGTGAACCGTGAACTCCCAGATGTGTAAGCTGGTTTTAGAAAAGGCAGAGAAACCAGAGATCAAATTGCCAACATCTGCTGGATCAGCGAAAAAACAAGAGTTCCAGAAGAGTATCTATTACTGCTTTATTGACTATGCCAAAGTCTTTGACTGTGTGGATAACAATAAATTGTGGAAAATTCTTCAAGAGATGGAAATACCAGACCACCTGACCTACCTCTTGGGAAACCTGTATGCAGATCCAGAAGCAACAGTTAGAACAGGACATCGAACAACAGACTGGTTCCAAATAGGAAAAGGAGTACATCAAGGCTGTATATTGTCACCCTACTTATTTAACTTCTATGCAGAGTACATCATGAGAAATGCTGGGCTGGAGGGAGCACAGGCTGGAATCAAGATTGCCAGGAGAAATATCAATAACCTCAGATACGCAGATGATACCACCCTTATGGCAGAAAGTGAACAGGAACTAAAGAGCCTCTTGATGAAAGTGAAAGAGAAGAGTGAAAAACTTGGCTTAAAGCTTAACATTCAGAAAACTAAGATCATGGCATCGTGTCCCATCACTTCATAGGAAACAGATGGAGAAACAGTGGAAACAGTGCTGACTTTATTTTTCTGGGCTCCAAAATCACTGCAGATGGTGACTGCAGCCATGAGATTAAAAGACGCTTACTCCTTGAAAGGAAAGTTATGACCAACCTAGACAGCATATTGAAAACCAGAGACATTACTTTGTCAACAAAGGTCCATCTGGTCAAGGCTATGGTTTTTCCAGTGGTCATGTATGGATGTGAGAGTTGGACTATAAAGAAAGCTGAGCGCCAAAGAATTGATGCTTTTGAACTCTGGTGTTGGAGAAGACTCTTGAGAATCTCTTGGACTGCAAGGAGATCCAACCAGTCCATCCTAAAGGAGATCAGTCCTGGGTGTTCATTGGAAGGACTGATGCTTAAGCTGAAAATCTAATACTTTGGCCACCTGATGCAAAGAACTGACTCATTTGAAAATAACCTGATCCTGGGAAAGATTGAGGGCAGGAGGAGAAGGGGAAGACAGAGGACGAGATGGTTGGATGGCATCACCGACTCAGTGGACATGGGTTTGCGAGAACTCTGGGAGTTGATGATGGACAGGGAGGCCTCACGTGCTGCGGTTCATGGGATCAAAAGAGTTGGACACGACTGAGCGACTGAAATGAACTGAATTGAACCTCGGTAGCCTGAGTGATTTATCTAGCATGCATCTGCAGGGCACCTTATGTCTCCTCTTATTTTAGTTTTTGAGTTAACTTTATGGAGTAGAATACTGTTATCCTGAATTTCCAGTGGAGGATCTTGAGGTTCAGAGAAGCTAAGCAAAGTGTTCAAGGTCACACAGTGGTCAGCAGTGGGTCTGGGATCTACGCTGAGGTCCGGCTGCCTTCCAGATCCTAAGGGGTCAAAGTCTCTATGGGACCTCTCAGTCCTCCCACCCCTATTCCCGCCTCTCCTTCCCAGCCCAGATATTGCCACTGGACATCTGCGAAAAGCAGAGAGGCTGAGCAGCTTGGGCTTTCTCACGCAGCATGTGAAAGCAATGCGTGCGGCAGCTCCTTTGCTCAGGCTCCAACTCCAGCCCTGAGGCCCCGGCACTCACAACAGTGGACTTGCCCCCGGAAAAAGGTGTAGTCATAGTGGTCGTAGCGGATGTCACAGTTGTGGGGAGTCAGGTAACCGTAGCAGCAGTCGTGTGCATGGCAGCACCTGGCAGGAGAAGATAGGAGGTGGGTGAATCCTTGGCAGACTCGAGTCTCAGGTTGCCCCTGCCCCAGAGCAGAAACCGCGTGTCCGCCTCGGAAGTCAAGGCCTGCAGGGTCTAGGCTTCTTTCTAGCTAGAGCTTCTCGAGTGCTTCCTCAGTACCAGGTGGTGGTGCAGTCTCTAAGTCGTGTCTGACTCTTGCGACCCCATGGACTATGACCCGCCAGGCTCCTGTGTCCGTGGGATTCTCCAAGCAAGAATACTGGGATGGGTTGCCACTTCCTTCTCCAGGGGATCTTCCTGACCCGGGAATCGAACCCGGGTCTCCTGCATTGCAGGCAGATTCTTTACCTTCTGAGCTATGAGGGAAGATTCCCTCCTGTATACCAGGCACCTGCTCTATCAAGGAATTCTCTCTTAATCCTTTTGGCCACTCCAGGATAGAGCTACTAGTATTACCCCCATTTCACAAATGAGGAAACTGAGGCTCTGGGAGGTCAGGCCACTTGCCCAGGATCATACAACCTGTATGTGGTGGGTGACGGTGCTGACCTCGGGCCTGGCTGGCTCTCATCCCTCCTGTGGCAGATCCCTGGGTTGCTGTGAAAGCCAAGTGAGATCATGGCAAAAAGAAGTGGGACTTTTTAAAAAACAATGTTCAATGGCAATGGGAAGTCTTTGTGGTTATTCTAACTACTTTGGGGTTGAGAGTGCAAGGCAGCCTTCAGAAACTCTAGGGAACCCTCCGGGAGGGCTGGGGCTGGATCGGAGCTCAGTGGAGTTCCTAGCAGGGAAAAACATGAGACTATTCAGGTGAGACCTAAACCAAATCCCTTATGATTATACAGTGGAGGTGATTTAATATATTCAGGGGATTAGATCTGATAGACAGAGTGCCTTGAAGAACAACCGTGGACTGAGGTTCGGAACATTGTACAGGAGGTGGTAACCAAAATCATCACAAAGAAAAAGATGTGTAAGAAAGGAAAATAGTTGTCTCAGGATACCTTACAAATAGCTAAGAAAAGAAGAGAAGCGAAAGGCAAAAGAGAAAGGGAAAGATAAATCCAAGTGAATGCAGATTCCCAGAGAACAGCAAGGAGAGATGAGAAAGCCGTCTTAAGTGAACAATACAAAGAAATAGAGGACAACAATAGAATGGGAAAGACTAGAGATCTCGTCAACAGAATTGCAGGTACCAGGGGAGTATTTCATGCAAAGATGGGCTGAATAAAGGACAGAAATGGTATGGACCTGACAGAAGTGGAAGAGATTAAGAAGAGGTGGCAAGAATACACGGAAGAACTATACAGAAAAGGCTTTAATACCCTGGATAACCACGATAGTGTGATCACTCACCTACAACCAGACATCCTGTTGTGTGAAGTCAAGTAGGCCTTAGGAAGCATGACTAGGAACAAAGCTATTGGAAGTGATAGAATTCCAATTGAGTTCTTTCACATGCTAAAAGATGATGCTATAAAAGTGCTATGCTCAATAAGCCAGGGAAATTTGGAAAACAGCAGTGGCCACAGGACAGCAAAAGTCAGGTTTCATTCTCATCCCAAAGAAAGGCAATGCCAAAGGATGTTCAAACTACTGCACAATTGTGCTCATTTCACTTGCTAGCAAAGTAATGCTCAAAATCCTTCAGGCTAGGCTTCAACAGCACATGGTACCAGTTGAATAAATGGATGGAGAGGAAACAGGAGGGGAAAGAGGAGGGTCCCTGAGTAGAGGCAGAGCACGATTGGGAGGAATTACCAGTCTGTGGCGTCTCTGGGTGGGCCTCGGCCACCAAGTCCGCAGTAACAGCCATAGGACGTATAGAAGAAGATGGGGATCTTCCCCGTAACTTGTCTGACCATCTTGTTCAGGTCCAGTATGTCGCCCTCAGCTGGAACCACACCTGCCAAGGGGCCCAGCCACAAGGAGAGAACGTGAATCTCAGGGGAGTCCAGTGGGCTGCAGGCCTGGCACCTGTGCTCTGCCTGGGCCAAACCAATGACCTCGGATAATAAGTAACAACAAACCCTACGGCTATTGAAAATATGATGACAATTGCTAAGTGATTACTATGGATACTTTCATGTAGTGATCTATTGACTCCTCGCATCCCGTGAGATACTCTTCTTTTAATCTTTTTATTCTCGTTTATCCTCAGTGTAGAGAAAAGTTGCCAAGATCATATAAGGAGATCCCGTACACCTCCCCATTCAGTTTCCTCTCATCATGATAAATGTATGAAAACTAAGAAAGCAATATTGGAACCATCAATCCTGTCTTTAATCCCCACGTTAGGGATGAACGCATGGAGGTTCAGTAGCTTGTTCAGGTCACAGTAGCGGGTAGACAGAGGAGCAGGGTTGAAACCCAGGGCCGTCGGGTCCCGCTCTCCGTCTGGGGGTTCACACTCTACAGGAGGAAGACACTCCCCCGCCACCCCCACTCCCACCACAGCCCATAGGAACCCACACAGTATGCACGGGGCCTTCCCTGGTGGCTACGTGGCAAAGAATCCACCTGCCAGTGCAGAAGACACGGGTTCAATCCCTGGTCCAGGATGACCCCGCGTGCTGAGGGACAGCTAAGCCCGTGCACCACAACTATTATGTCTGTGCTCTAGAGCGTGGGGCCACAACCACTGAGCCCATGCCCCCTAGAGCCTTCCTTCCACAAGAGAAGCCAGAATTCCCCACACCACTTCCAGAGAAAGACCTCACCCAGCAACGGAGACCCAGCAGAGCCAAAAATAAAATACAATAAATACAATCATTAAAAAAAAAAGGCCTCTTTTAGAAAACTATGCATGACTCCTTTGGGAAACAGGGTGATTTAGAAATCAATGTGTTTCATGAATATTTTTCACCAGTCATAATATCTGCTGGTTAGAAATGATAATAAGGGGAATGCATTTTATTGGGAGAGAGGAATGCATTACATTGAGTGAGCAGAAATAAAATACATTAAGCCAATGGATTCAGGGAAGAACTTGGGAGAAACAGACGAGATGCAACGGGGCCTGGAACGTACCTGTGTGCGACCTTGGGAGATGACCCAAGAACGCAGATGGAGCCCAGAGTCTCAGAGAGACTGGGCTGGGGAGACCCTTTTTGGTGACCCTCGTTTTGGATGCTCACCCCCTACCCTCAAGTAAATGGTGTTATAGTGAAAGCTCTACACTCAAATAAAGTGAGTAATAACCAGGGGAGCGCCCTCCTGGGCAATGTTGGGGCTGGGATGAACTCATGCAGTGGGCCGGGGATGCCATCAGAAGCAGGGTGCTTGCCTGGTGAAGAAAGTGACAGTTACCCGGTGGAGTCCGACTCTTTGCGACCCCACGGACTGTAGCCTGCCAGGCTCCTCTGTCCACGGGATTCTCCAGGCAAGACTACTGGAGTGGATAGCCATCCTGTTCTCCAGGGCATCTTCCCGACCCAGGGATCGAATCTGGGTCCATTTCAGGCAGATGCGTTCCTGCCTGAGCCCCCAGCGCTACAGCTAACCTGTGACTGGCAGCATCTGGGACCTGCAGGTAGGTCGTGACCCCAGAGTGTGGAATCCACACTGACGCTCTAGTTTGCCACGGCGGCTCTAGCTCTACAGATGTTAAAGAGAAACCTTCCTAATTCTGACTGTGCTGAGGAATGACCCCAGGCCCCCGGAACCCCAGATTTGGTGACAAAGCCCAAGAAACAGCCCACGGCCAAGAGAGTTAATGTCCACCCAGTAGCCCAGCCAGGGATCCGAACTCGGAATCTCACCTTTCGCTGCACCTCCATCCCCTTGTGCACCCGAAGTTCAGGCCTTTCTATTTCAGCTTAGAAGTAGCCACACAAATTCACACCTGAATTCTACAGCTGTTCCTCGCCAAGCAAGTTCAGCTTGGATTCAGGGTGATTTCGGGGGTCTTATATATTTCTTGCAGTTTTACAGTGAGGTCAACCCAGCCCTGGGGAATGGAGGAGCTCAACTTGTGGTCAAGAGGGCTTTGGGACACTGGCTCAGGTTAACAGTGATTCCTGCCTTGGTAGCTTTTTCCATCCTCAGCTGTCGCTGAGAGGGATGGAGCCCCTTCTCCCAAGGGTTAGCGACAGTGGCGGGGCTATGTCACTCACCACTAACTCATGCATGCACTGTCTGTTAACTTACTGCACACTGTTGCTTACACTTCTTGAGTGTTTTGTACATATTTTCTAATTAGAGTCCTTCTAACAACCCAATGAAGAGGATGTTATTGTGCCACTTTACAGATGAGGATAGAGACGGGTAGGGGTACTTGGCCAAGGTCATACCACCAGAAGTTGATGGGCCAGCATCTGAATGCAGGTTCATCTGTGTATTTCATCTCCACACCATACTGCCTCTTTGCATCTGAGAGATGAATTTCTGCAACTTGATTGCAATTTTCCAAATGGTTTTCACTGTAACCCTGGTGATGTGTTTCTCTTGGGAATTTGGGAGCCCCCAAAATAACATAAAGCACATTAAAAAACGAAATGCAAATCCTTTCTCATATCACATATTCTGAGATGGATCAACAAGTAAAAACTCCAGTTTGCGAGCAACCGGATTTGCAACATCTGAATTGTTAAAGATCAGGTGGAAACTTCGCCGTTTCCCAATGGACAACAGAACCCCCAGGGTCAAGGGAGCTGAAAGGGTTGTAAAAACCTGGTGGTTCATCGCTAAGTCGTGTTCAGTTCTTTCAACCCCATGGACTCTAGCCTGCTAGGCTCCTCTGTCCATGGGATCTCTCAGGCAAGGATACTGGAGTGGATTGCCATTTTCTTCTCCAGGGGATCTTGCTAACCCAGGGTTCGAACCTGGGTCTCTTGCACTGTAGGCATTTCTTTACTGACTGAGTCACGGGAAAGCCCCCTAAAGGTGTGGAGAGGTGTGCATATGTAAGAGATTACTATCATCTGGTGAGAGGGACACAGGAGAGCAGATCCATTTCTGTAGTTTGTGTTCAAAGTACCACAGTGTCAGTTCAGCTGGACCCTAGTTTCTGAACTTCTAGCTTCTTGTCCATTCCTGCCACGCTGCTTGGCCGCCCATAGCTCTCTGACCGAAGCCACTGTTCCAGGGGCCTGAGCCACTGATGACTCCTTGCAGGGGCCGAACAGTGGGGGCCTGGAGACCGGGGCAGTAAGACCAGCACAGCAGCTCCGATAGGAAAGAGACACGGGCATCCCGGCTTCCCTCCCCGCCTTCCCGGCTGTGGGTGCTGCCCCCACTTACCAGCGAAGACCACCAGTGTGCAGAGGAGGGGAAGGTCCATGATCCCAGCACAGGGCAGTGCAGCCGGCCGCTGGAAGTCCCCTCTCGGCCAGCAGCCCCTTATATCAGGTGACCCCTACCCGCCGAACGCGCTCCCACCCCTCCCAGCTCAGCTCTGGCGGAGGTCACCCGTGCTCTTTGTGTTTCCTCTTTTCTGGCAAAGCGGAGTTTTATTATTCCTGTTTTTTAATGTCTTTAAAAAATGTTTTTGATTGCATGTTTGGCATAGAAGATTTGGAATACATGAACAATTACAAGAAATTTAAAATCATTTGTGAATCCATTCATCACCATTAATTTTTTCAATGAAATTGACATATAACATTGTGCAAATTTAAGTGTACAATATATTGATTTGATACATTTGTGTATCATAATCTGAGTGTTAGTGCCACAATAATTAGCATTTCTATCACGTCACATAATTACAATTTCTTTCTGTGGTTGGAATCCTTAAGATCTAGTCTCTAGGCAAGTTTGGTGATTGCAACACAACACTGTTGTCTGTATTCACTGTACTGTCGCTAGGACTCATTTACTACTTGGTGCAAGTTCGTACACATAAACAAAATTTGTCCTAGCCCTCCCCATCCCCTACTTCCTGGTAACCACCATTTTACTCTCTATTTTAACATGTTTGCATACACACACACTGACACACACACACATACATGAAATGACATCTTTTTATGGACTTATCCATTGATGGACACTTAAGTTACTTTGATCATTAAGATCTTGGTGTCAATGTTTTCCTGGTTCTGTTACTATATGTATACATATATGTATATGTATATATATATATGTGTGTGTGTGTATATATATATATTTCCGCACGTCTCCCTGACCAGATTTGGTAAATGCTACACGTAAAATATTGTAGTCTGTCTTTTCATTTACTAAAATAACTTGAACATATTTCTATGTTGTTAAATCATCTTCCGCAGAAACATTTTGAAAGGTAGTCTTATATGCCATTCATTTAAAGAACCCCCTATTGTTGGGCATATGGGTTATTTCCAAAATTGTACTATTCTAGACCACTCAGCAAGACAGTGAAAGAAATCTTTGAGATGAAATCTCGTCCCTGCCCAGAATTGTTTCTTTAGGGTCTACTCCTTAAAGTGGGCTTGCTGAGTCAAAGCACACACACAATTTGAAGGCAACTGATGTGTGTTGACAACGTACCCTGCCGAAGGTCTGCCCCAGTTTAAAATGGGACTCCTAATGAGGCAAATGATGTGGACCCAGCCCAACTAGGGTGGAGGTGCTGATTGCAGACATGTTTGGCATTACAAATGGATAGTCTGCTACAAACACTCTACCAGGAACCTTCTAGGGTTTGCTGGAGAGTCCATGAGAGCAGAAGTTGGGTTTCTTCTGTGACCATCAGGTGACTATTCAAAAACATAGAGCACAGGCTGAACTCTTTGCTGCCAGCTAACTGGTCTACCCCCCCAAAAAAGTCAAGTCACTGCTGGGTGAAGTCCCTCTCCCTCTTCCCTGTCTCTTTAAAATTGAAATTTCCTTCATCCCTAGACTCAGTCATTAGCTGATCATCTCATACATGAAAAAGCAATCTGTATGCAACATACATACTAAGCAGCAAATACACGCAACCTCGCTGGCATGCTTTTTGGCATGCCTCCCCCCATGTGTGCTCGGTAGCCATTCCTTTATGCTCTTACCGACGTGCGACCTTCCTGTGAACTCTCTAGATCTGTGCTTACCCTTCTGAGCCCCAGCTTCCCCCTGAGCTGGTATCAATCAGGCAGAAGCAAAAGGAGCCAGGACTTCTGCTGATTCCAGAAGTCTTTGCCCTAGTGGGAGAGAAGACTTGAGAGATGTTGCAAAAAGTCTTCAAATCTGCTGTTCCAGACATCCCCAGAGATCCCAGGGCACAGTTCAAAGGGACCACATTCAAACTCTAGCTTCTTCTCCTACCAGCTTGGGACCCTGGGCAAATCACTTGACCTCAAGAGCCTTGCTTTCCTTATTTGCAGAACATGGACAATGTGGAGGCAACTGGCCCTCTCTCCTCTGATGGCCGTGGGGTTTAGAGACCACATACACACAACACACTGCACACAAGACACCCGCAGAGAGAGTGCCGTTATAGGGACCGCAGCACAGGTTATGGAGCATCACGTGGAGACAAAGAGGCCGGGAGGTGGGACCCAAGGCCAGGCTGCCTCCCTGGCGTTCCAGCTGCTTCACTGGGAGAAAGCTGCTCAGCCCAGTGTCTTCCATTTTCTCACGTGTGAAACAGGGTGGTGAGAGTGTTACTGAACCAAGCTTGAGTTCGCCTGCCCAGAAAAGCCAGTCTACTGACCTCAGGTCATGGTGAAGTAAGGGCATCGTTTATTGCAGGGCACCAGGCAAGCGGTCCACACAGCCAGTGCTCAGTTCAGTTCAGTTGAGTCGCTCAGTCGTGTCCGACTCTTTCTCAAAAGGCCTGAATTCCCATGGTGGCTTTCAGAGAGAGGCTTTAAAGACAGGATGAGGGGGAGGGGTTTGGGGGTGTATGGTCAGCCTGTGGGCATTCTTCTGATTGGCTGGTGGTAAGAGAATTAAGGGGTCAATAGCGTCAACCTTCCGGTTCTAATCGTCTGGAGTCTCTTTCCTTGTGACACCTTACAGGTAACTTCTTCCACCTGGTGGAGTCTGTGAAACAGTTCATAAGACTGGCTCAGAACAGCCCTGAAGGAGGAACTGAAGGTCCTCAGCTTTGTTTAACGGCTAAACATTTATTATTTTTTCCTTGCTTGACTGTTTTCTTTTGGCTTTGCATTTTTCTTACTTTTCTGATTAAACACATTCTTTGGAATTTGGGGAACACCTAGGAGGTTAAAGTTTTCTTTATAGTGAGCGACAGGTGGAAGACTCAAGTGGGGGCAGTTTTGTCCTGGGAAAGCACCATAGGGTCCAGCTTGATTACCAGAGCACCTGCTTCATAGGCTTGTGGGAATTAAATGAGGTGATACGGGGACAGAGCTCAGTCAGTAGCCAGAAACGAGCAAATGTGAGCTACGGTCACTCCCACCACCATCATCTTCATCTGCACCTTTGCTGCTTAAGATACACAGAATAAATAATGAACCTTTTCTTTTACATTGTCTAATCTGCAGGCATCCTATCCACTCTATCATCTCAGTGTATTTGTTTCTCTCTAGAAATTTGATCTACTTGGTTTTTTTTTAATATCTTCTATGTTTCTAACTGGTTTACCTGGTGGCTCAGACAGTAAAGAGCCTGCCTGCAGTCCAGGAGACCCAGGTTAGATCCCTGGGTCAGGAAGATCACGTGGAGACGGAGATGGCAAGCCGCTCCAGCATTCTTACCTGGAAAATCCCATGCACAGAGGAGCCTGGCAGGCTGCAGTCTGTAGGGTCGCAAAGAGTCAGACACAACTGAGCTACTTCACTTTCTTTTTCTATGTTTCTAATCAACAGGCTCAAGCTTTCCTCTCTTTTCTTAAACATATAGAATATAGGTGTAAGACTGTCATAATATCTTTGTCTATGAATCCTATCATTTTGTTCCTGGCTCTGTTTCTATAGATTTTTTTCATTATGACTTTTAGGTCAGCATTGCTCATCATATAGGAACCACTCTGGGGACTTCCCTGACGGCCCAGTGGTTAGGATCTGAGCTTCCTCTGCAGAGGGCACTGGTTCCATCCCTGTTTGGGGAACTAAAGTCTCCCAGGCTATGTGACCAAAGAAAAGAAGAGAAAAGACTAATAATAATAAAATCTTTATCTATTTTAAAAGGGAAGTTTCTTTAAAATAGATTTCCAGAAGTGAAATTGCACAATCAGAAGATGGAAAGGCTCTTACTGTTCTTCCTTTTTCTGAAATTGGTAGAAATTTAGAAACTCCCTAGCTTTTGGCTCCATCAGCAGCATATAATAGATGGAACCGATCATTTCCTGAGACTTTCCAGCAAATCTGTGTCTTCACTTCCTTGGAAAGAGTGGGAACCACTTGGTGATACTGTTCACCCATGATCCATCAAGGTCTCCAGGTGGAAAAAAACAAAGGAAAAGATCTCCAGGTGGACGATGAAGGAAGCCGGAGAGGATTTAGACCCTGAAGTGCGAATTCTATTAAGAATAGTTACCATCAGTGGGCCCAGCGAGGTTAGGAGCCCGCCCAGAGTCATGCAGTAGCAGGCGAGTGGCAGAGTTTGGGCCAGAATACAGGTCAGCCAGGGCTGCCCCGACCACACGCAGGGCGCTGTTCTAAGCGGTTCACACAGAGGAAGCGCGAAGAGGCACGGCCCGCATCCCCTTGATACAGGCGAGTCATTGCGCCCAGGGGCTGCTTTCTTAGCAACATAGATGCAGGTGGGAATGAGAAGAGCTGGCAGAGCCTGGAGCCTGCTGCCCCCAACCTCACTGCAGACGGTGAACCCCCATCTGCTGAGAGACACCCCCTTCCAGCCAGTGACCGGAGGCCTTTGCTTGACTCATGTACTGAGTCGCTTCAGTTGTGTCCAACTCCTTGCAACCCTACGGACTGTGACCTGCCAGGCTCCTCTGTCATCCCTTCCCAAAAAGTCCCGTTTACTGAAGTGGTCCCACTGCCCAGATTCCATCTGTGATGAAACCTGCCAGAGGCGGCTAGACGCAGCTCAGAATTATTATTATTAATGTGGAAAGTCTGCAGGGGAAGAGGAAACTGAAAGAAGCTGGGCTTACCAAGAGATGTTCACACTAAGTGAAGAAAAGCAGAGAAAGTCAAACACTATATGACATCACTTATATGTGGAATCTTTCAAAAAAAAGGACACGAGTTAATTTCTTTACAAAATGAAAACGGACTGTCAGACTAAGGGGAAAGATAGGGAGGGATAAATTAGGAGTTAGGGTTAACAACACACTACTGTACATAGAATAGATAATCAACAAAGACTTACTGTACACACAGGGAATTCTATTCAATATTGTGTAATAACCTTTATTAGAAAAGAATCTGAAAGAGAACAGATACATGTATGTGTAGAGCTGAATCTCTTTTGT